TATTCTCGATTTATAATATTAACAACAGTAAAACCAATCGAGTCGAAATTAGTATCGAAAGAGTATTAGTCGATGATACATCTTTCATATCGAAGGGAAAAATAGCTGTTGATCAATATATGCGTCGTAATAATCAGATTTTCCTTCAAGAAATAAATCAAAATATAATCTATCCAAAGAGATGTGACATTCTTCGACTATCTATTCATTTTTTTTAATGAAATTCTTCGAAAACAAGCATTTAAAACACGACCACAGCCTCAAATAATGGACCCATCAACATAACAGCCTATATCTAAATCACGCAGGAAATATTTAGCCAGAGGTAAAATATAAATTCGAAAGTAGAACATGAGAACAAGATCATCAATTGTTTGTAAGACAGTATTAAAATGACGAAGACCTTAATGAGGTATTGAAGATTTCCACAATGGAAATCGATAAAATGGTTCAACTATAACTTCATGTAGAGTACACATGTGACCATCGAATAACAATTCACTGAATATTCTATCGCACTTATCTATAAAACGACATTCTAAAAAGAATGAAGGTTTACGAAGATTGTTTGCTGTTATAAAAAATAAATTTTTGTAGTGATCAACTCATCTATTGCTGTATCACGTTTGAGAATAGTATTTTATGGAATCTTTATAATGATTAGCGATAGTATCAAGATCAGTTAGAGTAGAATTGATTAAAGTAAAATGCGTTAAATTAATCACTACTGATTGAATAATAATTCTACATAAAAAGAAAAAATAATATTTATCGAAATAAAATCTATATTCATTATTTAATATTAATGATTAAAGTTGAATAGGATTATCTGAATGAAAAAATAGATTCAACAAATAATCACATTCATCAAATTCCATTACACTAAGATTGATCTTTGGTAACAACCATGAATCAAACAATGCAGAACGTCAGATGTTGATAAATAACGACAGATCATCAGTAGAATTCAATTTGGTAAATCAAGTAAACAAGTTACATTACCACAAAAACATTTCACTGGTGAAATTTGATTAATAACATCATCAATAAATATATGAATCGAATGAAGATTGAAATATTTCTTAGAGTTTCTTCACAAGCAGGGCGGGGGTGTGGATGTGGGTGTGGGGTGTGGGTGTGGATTCTGAGTATCGTTCTTCTAGTACTCGTACCTATATCTACACACCCACACCCACACTCACACCCTTCTCATCCACTGACCTACCCTCACCCGCGCTCAGCTACTCATTCATTCACTCTCATCCGCTCATGCAGCCTGACCCACCCACTCACCCTCTCTTTCTATCTGTATGACACTATTAGCCAGTGGGTCATAAGAACTGCTATGCGGACCGTTTTTGGCAAGAGGAAGCCCAGAGTCAAGATCTAAAAATTAATGAGGTTAACAATTTAAAGCTGTGAGCTTATGTGTGGTTCAACTGAGTGATTCATGTGAGAAAAAACCCAGAGAATGAAGCCCAAAAAATGCATACGAAAGAGTCAAGAGCAAACAACATTCCTTCGGTTTGTTTTGAAAAAGGAAGAAAACGATGGAAGAAAATGCTGCAAAGGTTGTTTTTTTCCAATTCAACTCGGCGAGAATAAAAAAAAAATAAGTATCAAGACATAAACTTAAGGAGCGTAGAGTCAACAATTCAGTTTAAAAGAAAAAGAGGTAAGCAACGCTAATGTGCAACTTTTAGCTTGAAGTCCGTTCACACCTAATATGCTTCTGCAGCAAATTCGAATGTTTGAGTGCAAAGAAGACCATATTTGACAAAACCTTTTTAGTCATGTTTGTTGCTTTGCAGTTACAGAAAACCGATATTTACTGGAATACATTTTATCTTTCTGCCATATTCTACCGACTTGATCCGAGAATCAAGATTTAGTAGAATTGCAGCACTTTCAGAGACGTTTCTGGGCAGCTGTTATCGAAGCTTGGAGGAAAATATGAAGTTTGAAGGTCTGACAAAGTCAAGTGACTCAGTGCAACCAAATTCATCTGACCTGACAGAAGTCTGACGCTATTCACTCTCTTTCAGTTATAAAGCAAGAAACCATGGAGGACCTATTTGCCTGTGATATATCCGACATGCCCAATTATTTGAAAACTAATTTTCCAGCTACATCAGAACTTCAAAAATTTGCCTCTAAAATATACGGTTCGGCTTGTGATTTTTGAAAAGCATTTGGTTCATGTGATAGATTTATGAAACTCAAATTGATGGTTCAAGCAAAAGAACCTGTCGAAAGTATCAAAGACTTTTGTAAAACGTGTGAAGCAGAAAAATATGTTGCTGAATTTTATCAGAATCAGTTAAATGGCTGTCAAGCAATACCAGATCCGGACATGATGTGCCCAAAACTGACTGAACATTTTGATCGAGCATTTCTCAACACCTTTGGCTATCAAATGTTAGGCAATTCCATCTGTGCGCTCTTTCAGTCAGCACGTACATAGTAGGTGCCTCCATATTATCTGTTTTGTTTTAAAATGATACGATGCAGATGTACTAGGTCTAAAAAAATTTGCCGTCATAATAACGGGAAAATTTTCAACCGGAAGAGTTTTAAGCTTCTGATCCTTCTTTTTGAACATTTTAGAGCAATCCTAGCGTTTTAATGAAATATCGTGAATTATTCAGACTTCTGACACCAGAAATTCGTGAAGTTTGGAAAAATCTAGTTTTTTTCTCGAAGTTTATAAATTTGGCAAGCTACACACGGCTATCTGCAAATGTGTGGACGCGACAGATTCTAAATCTCCGAATTTTAATTTTCAAACGATGGAGACCTATTTAAGTTTTTTGAAAATTATTTAAAAGATATTTTTTTCCTATGTAGCCCTTAGAAAATTCGTTCGGAAAAGTGTTTAACATTTAAAAGGAACGCAACTCGAAGATATTTACCAACATTGACTTCTACAAATTTCTTTTCTGCACCAAATGAACCATCACTGAATTTTCTATTGAAAAAATTTCAGTTTCTTATCTTAAACTATAATAAATAATTGGAGCTACGTAGAAACTTATTCTTTGTGAGCACGAAAAATTCTACTTCAATCGAGAGAAATGAATTCCTAAAAAAAAAACCTTTTTTCACTAGGTATTTTATTTACTCTCTGAAACTGCCCTCCTGTGAAAGTCAACTTAAACTTATTATTGAAAACCTTGAAGAATGTGCTTCGATCATGTCTTCATTGATTGATTCAAAAGCTTCAAACTTTGAACTGGTTCTTGAACTCAAATACGTTCAAAAAGTGTTGAAATTTGTGAATGACAATATTTCAAGTGTCATAGATGACATCAATAAAAAAGTAACGGAAGCAAAACGGCTTAGCTCAAATAGCTATGTCTCGGCCGTGATCAATGGTATCTCGGCACTTTTGAATGGGTTCATCCATTCAAGAGTGACAGTCGCAACTGGTCCCAATTCGTATTCGACGATGGCTGCGCGTGCATCGACCATAACACATGGTGTTAGCACAATTGGGGATATAATGTTTGCTGGTAGAGCTGATCATTTGATACGAGAGTTAGACAATTTAAAAAAAATTATTGATGGACATGCGGCTGAACATAAACGTTTGGTTGAACTTGAAAAAGAATTACGATCACGCCAGAAATTATCTTAACCACTTGACTGTTAATGACAAGTATACTCGTCAGACAAGTTTTCATGGAAAAAATGAAGACTATAACTTTTTAACTCTGTTTTCTTTGTATGCTATGGGTCGGGTGTGGGTGGGGGTGGGGGTGTGGATGTGGGTGTGGGTGTGGGTGTGGGTGTGGGTGTGGGTGTGGGTGTGGGTGTGGGTGTGGGTGTGGGTGTGGGCGTGGATGTGGGTGTGGGTGTGGAGTGTGGGTGTGGGTTGGAGTAGTGTTAAAGATGGAACTCACAACCACAGCCACACCCACATCCACACACCCACACCCACACCCTACGTTGCCAAGGTGTCGAAAACCTTGCATAGAACCAGCGTAACGGGTTACTTGCTTGAGTCAGATATTGCATTATTATGATGTCAGTGGATTTACTAGAATTTTTGAGAAAAATCTAAGGATTCCGTGGCGTTTTGTAGTGGCGAAAACGGTTTTTGGGGTAACTGTGTCCAAGGGTTCGAAGGCTTGTCATGCATTTCGGAAGTCGTGATATCAATGAAAAAAACAAGGATTTACAGAAAACTATTAGTTTTTCAGATGTTGGAAAGTGTCAAGCAATCTCAATAGCATTTGAATGCAAAGTTTCTTCATTATTTTGATTCGTTATTAATGGATAAGATATATTGAAATTTTTCAAGATTTCCAAGGATTCCGCCGGCGCTCCCCTCTATTCAATGACTGGGACGTTTACAATAAAAAAAATAGGTTTTTTCTTGGTTTCCTAGCCCTTGACTTCACTTCTTGAATTCGATGTTGAATTTTTGTACCCGATTATTTTCCCAATCGATGACATAGAGATTGCCATGTTGATCGAATGACAAACCTATGGGCACATTGAGTTGGATCGATTGTCCTCCTCTACCGTTTCCATCAACAATGATACTTCTCTGTGTGGCTCCTTTGGGCCAACACAGGATTCAAGGATTTCCTTCATCAGCCACATAGACAGTGTCCAATTGATCAATAACGACTCCTTGAGAATATGACAATTGTGTAAGACCATTTCCTTCTTCTTGACTACCAGCCACGATAATGCCTTGTTTTGCACCTTTCACCCACTTCGTCACACGATGATTTCACAGTTAGACACGTACACTGAATGATCTCGTTGGGCGAATACGTATCGTGGGGAAAGATACTTGATCGACACGATTTGGGTGTGGACGTATTATTCTCAACCCAGTGCCCACATCCACATCCACTCACAACTACACCCTTTACCCACTCATCTTTTGCAGTTAAAATCATTTGAATATTTAAACTATGATTCTACTAGATATGACAGTATACAAAATAAGTGAATGATAGAAAAATATAAAGTACGAGATAGAAAAATTAACAAGTCTGCAAGAGAATATTTAAACTGTCAGTACCACTATTAGCGACAGCAAAATCTAGTTTTCTATCGTTATTGAAGTCTCCAACAACAATACAGGATGGATTGGATCCATAGTTCAACGGAAATAAGATGATGCTTGCAAAAGTGCCGTTGCCATCTCCAAGAAGTACGCCTAGATAATTGGTATCATGAATTGCGACGACAATGTCTTGTATAGTGTCATTGTTAATGTCACCAACAGCTAAAGAGTATCGAGACGAATTTGAACCTGTTGAATATGCTATTAGATCTCGATAAGATCCATTGCCATATCCAAGCAAAATGCCAACATTATCAGAGTCACAACTACCAAAAGCAATATCTACCTGAGTATCATTGTTGAAATCACCGACAGCCATAGAGCATGGAAATAAATATGGGTGAGTGGAATATGTAACTTGATTTGTAAAAGATATATTACCATATCCAAGAAAAATACCAATATTGTGAGTAAGTGAATTGACTACGCCGATATCCATCAGACCATCATTATTAAAATCGCTAATTACTAAAGATTGTGGTCGAGAATCATTTCCAGTTACCAGTATCACTTGCTTTACAAAAACTATATCGTCATAGCCAACAAGGACACTCACATCATTGCTATAGTAATTGGCGACAACAATATCTAGTCGAGTATCGTTGTTGAAATCTCCAACAACTACAGATTGTGGCAGAGAACCAGCTGAATACCTTGTTTGATTTTCAAAAGAACCATTTCCATTTCCAAGAAGGACACTCACATCATTGCTCTCAAAATTGGCGACAACGATATCTAGTCGACTGTCGTTGTTGAGATCACCAGCAACTACAGATCGTGGTCCATAGCCAGCTGAATACCTTGATTGATTTTCAAAAGAACCATTTCCATTTCCAAGAAGGACACTCACATCATCGCTCACAAAATTGGCGACAACAATATCTAGTCTATTGTCGTTGTTAAAATCACCAACAACTACAGATTGTGGCCCATAGCCAGCTGAATACCTTGTTTGATTTTGAAAAGAACCATTTCCATTTCCAAGAAGGACACTCACATCATTGCTATTCCAATTGGCAACAACGATATCTAGTCGAGTGTCGTTGTTGAAATCACCAACAACTACAGATAGTGGTCTATAGCCAGCTGAATACCTTGTTTGATTTTCGAAAGAACCATTTCCACTTCCAAGAAGAACACTCACATCATTGCTATAGTGATTGGCGACAACGATATCTAGTCGAGTGTCGTTGTTGAAATCCCCAACAACTACAGATTGTGGCCCATCGCCAGCTGAATACCTTGTTTGATTTTCAAAAGAACCATTTCCATTTCCGAGAAGAACACTCACATCATCGCTGAAATAATTGGCGACAACGATATCTAGTCGAGCATCGTTGTTAAAATCACCAACAACTACAGATTGTGCATAAGAGCCAGCTGAATACCTTGTTTGATTTTCAAAAGAACCATTCCCATTTCCAACAAGGACACTCACATCATTGTTATTGCCATTGGCGATAACGATATCTAGTCGAGTATCGTTGTTGAAATCACCAACAACTACAGATCGTGCATAAGAGCCAGCTGAATACCTTGTTTGATTTTCAAAAGAACCATGATTGTACGCAACAAAGATATCCACATGATTACTTCCACCGTTAGCGATCACAATAGAAACAGTTCGTATAATACGTTTTCGAAAATTAGAAGCATGTGGTGAGGAAATGTTGGTATTTCTTAATGATGATGGGACTATGAATGAACTGCTAATGGCATGTGCACACAGTCATTTATTTGGCCATTATTGACACATGTATCAGGTATCTGGATCTCAGTACTTTTTCCTTTCATATTGAGCATACATGTTAGTAAATAATTCTGGGTCCGTTATTGAATAGTTGTCGATCCTCATGGTTTTCAAAATTTCTTTTTCTCTTGATCGATGTCGTTCACTTCGTGAAGTGTGCTTTAGTTGAAGAAGGATAAAATTTGCTATGACAGTTAATAAGATTAGTCGTTTGTAGATCTGCAGTTTGAAAACTAAAAAAAAAGGCGTTATTACCAGTAAAAATAGTCTCGGCATGTAAAAAGTTCCTAAACTGTGTTTTTTATGACATATGGTATCATTAAACTAATCTATCAACAAAAATGAAAGAGTCTTGTTCAAATTGTTCTTCAATTTATAGAGCAATCATGCATACCGCTCTTCAACAGCTTATCTGCTGGAGTTGCTATCAGGAAGTAATGGTAACGTCATCTTTCGTATAAGTTCAACAATAATCACCGTTTCATACTTGTAGAAACTTCATTAGCCTCATTTAAATAAATGTCGCTGGTGATACCTCAGATAAATGCAACCAACACGACTGTCGTTTATGATTCACTTGATTCACTACACGATCAATTTACAAAAACTCCAATCTATTTAGTTAATGGAGCAATTTGAAAAGTGGCTCCCTTTTAATCGTACTGAATCTATGACCATAGTCGGAGCGATCTATACCTCTGGATCATCAATTATTGTTAAACGCCTCACGCATTATGTATCAATCCATACTATAGCTGGAAAAGCACATAACTATGTGGAAAGACTTGATAGTAATGAAGAATCAATCTAAGAAGTAAGCGGTACAAATATTGAGCTTTAGCTCGATGACATCATATATGTACAGTCTAATCTCCGATCGATTGTCATTATTAAAATCACCAGAAGCCATAACTAATGGAGGTGAATCAAAACCAATTTTATAACTTGTTTGGATTGCAAATTTTCCCTTCCCATTTCCAAGCATCATATCTACATGCTTGGTACCATTAACGGCTAAAGCAATATCCACTACGAGGTCACCATTGAAGTCCCCAACCGCAGCGGAAATCGGATGAGAATTAGCGCCAGCACTGAGCATCATTTGGTTTTTAAAACTACCATTTCCATATGCAAAAAGGACGCCGATATTGTTAGTTCCATAATTAGCTAAGACGATATCCAGGTTAGTATCGTTGTTCAAATCACCAATCACTACGCATTGTAGGCTAGATCCACCGCCAGATGCATAAGCGCTTTTATATGTTAGCGCTCCATATTGCAACAGGACACTCACATCGCTGCTACCCGAATTGGCGACAACGATATCTAGTAGAGTGTTGTTGTTAAAATCACCAACAACTACAGATTGTGGTGAGAAGCCAGCTGAATACCTTATTTGATTTTCAAAAAAACCATTTTCATTTCCAAGAAGGACACTCACGTCATTGCTACCCGAATTGGAGACAACGATATCTAGTCGAGTGTCGTTGTTGAAATCACCAACAACTACAGATAGTGGATAAGAGCCAGCTGCATATCTTATTTGATTTTCAAAGGAACCATTTCCATTTCCAAGAAGAACACTCACATCACTGCTACCCATATTGGCGACAACGATATCTAGTCGAGTATCGTTGTTGAAATCCCCAACAACTACAGACTGTGGATAAGAGCCAGCTGAATATCTTGTTTGATTTTCAAAGGAACCATTTCCATTTCCAAGAAGAACACTCACATCATTGCTCTCAAAATTGGCGACAACGATATCTAGTCGAGTATCGTTGTTGAAATCACCAACAACTACAGATTGTGGATAAGAGCCAGCTGAATACCTTGTTTGATTTTCAAAAGAACCATTTTCATTTCCAAGAAGGACACTCACCTTATTGCTATTCCAATTGGCGACAACGATATCTAGTCGATTATCGTTGTTGAAATCACCAACAGCTACAGATTGTGGCCCATAGCCAGCTGAATACCTTGTTTGATTTTCAAAAGAACCATTTCCATTTCCCAGAAGGACACTCACATCATTGCTACCTGAATTGGCAATAACGATATCTAGTCGAGTGTCGTTGTTGAAATCACCAACAACTACAGATTGTGGATAAGAGCCAGCTGAATACCTTGTTTGATTTTCAAAAGAACCATTTCCACTTCCAAGAAGAACCCTCACCTCATCACTATTCGGATTGACGACAACGATGTCTAGTCGAGTGTCGTTGTTGAAATCACCAACAACTACAGATTGTGGATGAGAGCCAGCTGAATACCTGGTTTGATTTAAAAAACCCCCAAAGTGACCAAGGAGAATATCTATGGCACCAGTATCATTATTTACAACGACAATATCTAATCGATGGTCCTTATTGAGATCACCTATGGCAACAGAAATTGAAGAATAAGATCCAGTTGAATACATAATTGGATTTTTAAAATGACCGTTTCCATACCCAAGAAGTACACCTATATTTTCAATGCCATTATTAGTGATGATGATGTCTAATCGATTATCTTGATTGAAGTCTCCGACACCAACCGCATATGGAGAAGCAGAACCAACGGAATAGATGGCTTGATTAGCGAAAGTTCTATTGCCATTGTTCAAAAGTACACCTATTTCATGGGTTCCAGAATTGGCAATGACTATATCGACAAATCCGTCCTCATTAAAGTGACCAACAGCGATTGAGTATGGATGAGAAGCAAATCCAGTTGAAAACGTGATTTGTTTTTCAAAAGTTCTGCTACTATTTCCAAAAAGTACGCCAACATTATTCGTACCATAATTGGCGATGGCGAGGTCTAAATAGTTGTCGTTATTGAAATCTCCAGCAGCTAATGAGGATGGAAGAGAATCATAACCTGTTGAATACGTAATTGGAGGCGAAAAATTTCCATGGTCATATCCATAGAATATACTAATACTGTGAGTTCCGTAATTCGCAATGGCAATATCAAGTAGTGAGTCATTGTTGAAATCAACGGCAATAATTGCTATCGGACGCGATGAGCCTGTGTAAAGTTCTATTTGACTTGCAAAAGATCCACTCCCAAATCCATAAAAGATGCCGATATTGTTAGTGCCGAAATTCGCGGCTGCTATATCCAATCGGTTGTCATTGTTGAAATCAGCAACTGTGACCATGTAAGGACTAGAGTAGGAACGTGTTGAATACATGGTTGGATTTCTAAAATTGCCATCACCATTTCCTAAATACACAGCTATTTTGTTGACTATATGATGGGCAATAACCATATCTAAAACCGTGTCATTATCTAAATCACCGATGGCTACAGATCGTGGACCATAATTATAGTCAATTGGCTTTTGAGCCGTTGGTTTGAAATTGAGACCGCACTTTGGAACTAAACGATACATGAAAAGGAATGAGATGATTGATTGTTTGCTCCAGTAGAACTATTCGTCATAGGTTGCTTTGAACTAATACAATTACTATCGTATGTTGTCAGTAGTTATCTTATAACTCTATTTAGAGGAAATTCATAATCATCATCTTTCAAAAGAACTCTGCTTAGTTTCTTCGAATACAGATAAAGTTAAATATGGAAATTCATCAATCAACCCACTTGTCTGTTCTCAACGTCACAATTTTGTTCATTGTTATTCTCAATCATTCGTAGGAAACTTTGTTATATTCCGTTTCTTATTCTAAAGCACTAATCCAAAATACTGATTGAATCACTGAGAGCATTACACAACAGTACAGTTTTGGAACGAATTCTACAGTACATGAGAAGTTCGAGAAGCGAATATAAATCTATTGGCTGACTAACCATGCATAAAGACGCCCTGCCATAGTTAGTGTATTTGTCAGTAATTCCGTCATATGGACAACGCATGTTCACTGATAGTTTTTGCGTGACAAGCATGCAACTATTTATCTCTACTGCTTTTCGTACAGTGAGCAATCAATGATTTCTATCAATCTGTTCAGTCACAAATAGTGATAAATATTTTTCTCACTTTTATAATGTATATACAAAATTTTACTCTTTTGCGTCATGGTAACGAAAATAATTCACTAGAATATGATAAAGATATGAGAACTCAGTGGTAAATATAACATAGAACATACATAAGTCATACAGAAAGACAAAAGTAAAACGATTGTATCGGAGCATACTAGCAGAATGAAAGAAGATATAAATGGAACACATATACTACTTACTCTCGTCTGCAAGTAATATAAAGTGAGAAAAATTAAAGATGTGTTCTGTGAAGGAGAAGTATCTACTCTCGTCACGTTCCATGAGAAAATCGCCTGTATTTTCTATTATTCTTTTGCA